AATCATCTAGAATCCACCAGAAGAACTAGTCTCACTTAGTTATTAGGGGGGAGGTGGGCAGATTTTCTTAATTTATTTCACCCACTACGAAGGCCTTGTAATTTTAAAACAGTTTAATTACGAGCTTTCCTCGTGGGTACTTGCATACACACACACACACACGTTCAAACGATCCAGATAGTAGTGACTTTATAGGTTCCTAAGGAAGTCATAGTAATATGACCATAATTAAATGCTTTCATAAGACCAAGGGTGGCTGGATGGCCAATGCGTTCAGATTAAAAATATAATAAATTAAGCATTTATTTACCTTCTTAAACTCTATGAGATCACTTCCAGAGGACATACTTAGGTGGAGGGAATTTTTGGGTAGGTCTGCAATTTTTACCATATTGATAGCCCAGGGTGTGTACTGTTGTACTTCCTTATATCGTTCAGCTCCCCTCTTCAAATGCACAAATGCCTTTGCTAGTAGCTCTGGGGTCTGCTCCGGTCGTTCAAAAAATTCCCGCGCACGTGGACCGATCACCGGATCTAGGGTGTGCATTTGTTTTCTGTGAGTTGAGTCGATAGGATCACAGTCGACCAGGCGCTTGTGTGCGGTCGTGCCACATCGTAGGAGTACTTCGTCATCTTGTGCACTCCACTGCTTTTTCTCGCCATCACTCAGTTCATCCAGTTTGAAGGAATTGTAGGGTAGGTACAGGAGTTCAACAAAGGAGCTTTCCATTAGGCGATCGCGCAGAAGCCCTGAAGACAGTAAACTGTTCCATGTGTGAATCTCAGTTGAAACCTGGGCCGAATTTTAAAAAATGCGGCGAGCGTTAGCAAACCGGAAGAATGTTTGGTGGAATCCTAGTTTAGGTCCCAGATTGTTTAAATAACCTAATGTTTTCGCAACAAAATAGAGTGCCGTAAATAAACTTACATTTCTTACTTAAAGTTTACCGGGTGTGACAAATTTGGATATTTCTACTTACTTATACGTTATATTGTATTGGGTTTCTTGAAATTACTGAAAAAAAGAATTGGTCGTAGGGAGGTCGTCTATTTCAATTTGCCTGAGGTCCAACTTACCGTTCTGGAGTTAGATTAGAATAGCTCGTGGCGCCAAGCGTCGCACACACCTTCAATTTACGTGCGAAACAAGTTCCCGTTAGTTAATTTTATTTGTCTTGCTTAACTTATTTATATGTAAGTTCTTTTTCAGTTTAGGTTTCAGTTGATAATCATGTTTGATATTATATTTTAGTTTTAAATTTAGACTGTTTTAGTTAAATGAGCTAACCGTACTTTAGTTTACGCTTTTTAGT